TCTGTGTGCCCAGCTTGATGAATGTTGATGCAGCAGTGGAAAAAAAAAAAGCTTATGCTACTTCTAAGGTGTGTTACCTGCCTGCTCAGTAGATACATGACAAGATAAGTAACATTACACACCTGCTGAACTACATAGGTGAACTCAATTCCTGTGAAATAAAACAGGGGAAGATCTGCCTAGAGATTTGTTTTCAATGAGCACAAATACATGGGGTAGTTTTTTAGGAATTTTAGTATGAAAAAAAATGAGGCATTCCCAGGTCTTGGTAGAAATGGAGTTCTCCGCATCCCAATGTTCATGTCAACACTCAACTAGCCCCCAGGTTTGTACCAGCTCTTGGAGACAGGAAGATGTCTGAAGATGACAGCAAAGGAGGAAATGAACCTACACCAGCAGAGAATATAAAATAATTTTTCCACCCCCTCAAGTGAGTTGTAGTACTGGCAACAACTGTTTTATACTGTGCATACTCCATAAGGATTGTTCTCATATAAACATTACTTCCCCAAACAGATAAAAAAACCCAACTTACTAGAATGCCGGTTTAGAATACTAGAGATCTACGGAGGAATTTGATTATATCCTGCATAATCCAGGTTGTTTTGCAAACTTGTGCTATAGCATCAGCATTTCTAACGCTCAAAGGATTTGTATTTTGCCCTGTAACAATGGGGAAAAGCTCAGTGCTGAATCACTGTAACGCTGCTGAGCTGTAGTTGCCAGGAGCAGCACACAACAGAACTGAAGCATCACTAACCATTACCGTCGTTCTGGACTGTCACAAGTCCCTGGGATGCCCAAACGCCTTTCACATGTAAGATAGTAGCATATTCTCCAGCTGACAGCAGAGCAAAGGGGAAAGGAGGATGCCGCCACCGCCTTTCTTTATGACACTAACACAATGCAAATCTTACTCATCTAGGAAAGAACTAACCCAGCATGGATGTTTTCACCTGGGCTGGCAAGTTGCACTGGTTCAGCAATGGCTGAGCGAGCAGCGGAACTGACACAGGGCAAGAGACATGGC